GAAGCTGGATGTGTTCCCTTCAGCTAAAAAGGAGATTTAGGAGTTACCTCCTTGAGCTCTACCACTTCCTGAAGAWACTGGAAGGGGGTGATGCATCAGGCCTTTTTGGGATTTCTGTGAAATAGAGACAAAGGAAGAACAAACCAAGGAAACTGTCTGACAACATTGAGGCTAAATAAGTTTCTTTTCCTTATTTATGCTGTAATATATGAGTGTAAGATAACACGAAAAGAGGAAACAAAAGCAACTGCCAAATGCTTTTATAAAGGAGCTAAGAGCATATGTGGAGGCAAATTAACTATAAATGTTATCTCAGAGGAGAGGTCCCACTTGGAATAAGCATATATATGGCAGTTATGTCTAAAATTTGTTATGTTGCTATTGTTTTGTGCAGTGACAGAACATCTGCTCAGTCACAAGGCACCAGTAAAATGCAGCTTTATGCCTAAAGCAGAATGTCAGTTCCTAACAAAAAATGTATATAATAGGCCAGAAACAAAGGCACATTGTCTTTTCCAGTTGTAGTCATTTCTGACCTAATAATGRCTTAGAAAGGATTTTTGATTTTTATTTTTAAGTGAATGAATGGAAGGATTGAGTAATTTATGASTCTTTTCAAGATTAGGCTTTGTGCATTATTTGTGCATAAGCTGGCAAAATGCTTTGTCTCTGCAAATCATATTTATGTCACTAGAGCACTTCTAAAAAGGCAGCTGCTTGTGAGTACCTTGAGAAAAGATCATGCTTAGCTTACCATTTCTAAATTAAGTGTATAATCAGCTGATTTTTCCTCCCACTGGAAACACCAGCAAGGGCTACGTGTGCTCACAGAGTGAGTGGACACAARTCACATTTCACCTCCAATCTGTCTCTTCAGAGAGGAAAGGCATTCACAGTGCAGTCTGTCATGTAGAAAACTGATTAACAAATCCCTCAGGAAYAATTATTCCGTGGAATTTGTCTCTGAGTATTCCAAGCACACAACTTTTAAGTGGCTTTATTCAAAAAGGATATTCCCTTATATTTTCATTGTTTTGTTCACTGACCTGAGAAATCTGAAACTGGTGCAAAATATAATTTTAAAATCTATTTTCTGATGAAATGGGGTTATTATCCTACAGCTTGAAGCCATCCCCTCAGATACACATGTATATAGGACCCCTCAGAAAACAGACTGAAAATTGGCACCTTTTTACAGAATATCTTTCATGGAGTSAAACAGTGATTATTAAATCAAGGTGTGGAAGTATTCAAGTAGAACATGCCTTCAGAGAAACCATGAGAATGAATTTATATTCTGACACACAACATTAGGGTTAGAGTCATTGTGGRGAGCTCAGGGGTTCTGTGTCACGGGCTCTTTGAAGCCTCTGAAGTCTGCAGGACTCTTTTATGTGACTGGGAATGYGTGTGCTACATCATGAAGTATTAATAGGGGAGAAAGACAGCAGCCACTCTCATATGAATTCTTTCTTCTACAGAAAACCTCATGTCAGCAGAACTTCTTTTTTTTTGAATGTCACTTAAGGTCGGGACCTTTGCTGGAATAAATAAAATCCACGYGGGAGAGTCATCTGTGTCTGACTCAGAGCTGAATAATAATATGTGATTTTTACCTTTCAGCTGAGTCAGATGCAGACACTGAAACTTTCCCCCAGAAGCAGTGTATGGTTTCTCAGAAACCCTTCAGAGGTTTAGGAACCCAAAGCTTATTGCAGCTAGGAAAATTCCTGGTTTGAGTCAGTTTTCAGTGGGGCTGTACARATCTTATTGATCTATTTATATAACCTTTTCAAAGGGGAAAAAATTTATCTTTCACATATGGCAAAAACTCAAAGACTTAATTTTTAAGCTGTTAAGATTGCAGTAGTCCCTGGAATCTTAGGCAAGAGATATCTTGTGCTTTGTGAAAGTAAAAAGGGCCCAGCCTGAAATTCATTATTTAACCAAGGCATCAATTCTCAGCAGCAGGCACTGCCAGGCAGGAGCTGTTGTGCAGAGTTGCCAGAGGTGGCTGGATGKCATCATTTGTCAGCTGGCAGGGACAGAGTCACCAAAATGAGGTGTTTTTAAGAGTGGCTCTTAATAGAAATGCCATGAGTGACTCCAGTCTCTGCTCTCCAGTGTTAGATACAAACCAGGGCCTGTGGTTCTCTCTGGAGCCATCTCTGGGGGAGCAGCAAGGTCAGGGTTTGGGGGCAGCAGCCTGGAGAATCGCTGGGAGGTGTTCTAACAGATCTGTGTCTGCCAGGCTGTCTCTGAAGGTGACCTGAACCTTCAGGTGACCTCCAGGTCCTCTGTTGGGGTCCTCCTGGTCTCACATCCACCACGTGCTGCAGGCATTCCCTGCCCACACCCACCCTCTGCACACACAGAGTGAAAAGTGGTGCTTGATGTTTCCATTGTCACCTAAAGTTCCACCATCCCAGTCCTTCCTGATGCAGTCTCTGCTCTTCTGGTGCAGTCTCAGGCCTTTGAGACAGATTTCTGTTATTCTGTGAAAAAAAAAAAAAGGAGATTGGGACAGGCTGGCATGGCTTTGCTATTGCACTGAAACACTGATCCACTGAATTCCTGTGCCCTCGAATCTGGAGAGGAGCAGGATGCTGGGGCACGAGTCACTGGGACCTGGTGACATTCCCTTCTCCACAGAGGGGCACTCTGTGTCTGGAGCTCCTCACTAAAGGGATGGGATGGATTTAATCAAAGATAAACCATTACTGATGCGCAGTCAGGCTCTGGTCCATCACTCGGGGTGAGTGGTAGCCACAGGACATTAAAGCCCTGTTGTGAAGAGGCTGGGAATGGATATCCAGGGTGAAAAGGGTTGGTGGGTCACCCCTGAGCTGATGAGAAGTGGCAGTGCTGAACCTGGATGTCGGGGCTCTGCGTGATTTGCTGGCTCTCTGGGCTGACAAGCCAGGAAAGGGCTAGATGCCCCTTCAGGGGTACAGAGGAGATGCAGATCTGGGCTACAGCTCCTCCCTTGCTGCAGTGAAGGCACTGGAACCCAGAAATGCAGTGCACCACACTGGAAAGCTCAGCTTCCTCCTTGAGGTGATGTCATCCATTGGGTTCCAGTATTACTTGTTTGGAGCAGAGGTCAGGACTTGAGCCATGGGCAATGGATGAAATTAGATTTTTGAAAAGCAGTGCCTTAACAGGCAGTAAACATTCCTGCTCTGACTGGCAAACAGTCATTAAAAGCCCTTATTAAATTTTGTGTCTGTTCTGGTTGCCACTTAGCCATTTCTTTTCATTCTGAAGAATTACAGCTAAGAATGAATGAGTCTTTTCTCATATGGTCAGGACACAATAAATTTGTGAAAGAACTTWAGTTATCTTTCTCCCTCACAGGCAAAATTTTCCAATTGTTTAACAAAATGTTGTTTTGTATAGCCGTGACATCAGTCTTGATGGCTGTGAATAGCAAGGCTCGACATTAAGCAACTTGTTTATAAAAAGCAGACAGGCAGTAACAATTAGAGAGCGTTCAATGCRCTTCCCCACTCGAGTCCTTACCCTCTCCTCCCACTTGCTGATCTTCCCACTGCACTGTGGAGATATTTGTGTCTTCAGAAGGAGCAAACAGATCTCTTCWGTGAAAGGGTGCAAAATTTCCTGCGTTCTGCCATGTAGAAGTTGGCATCTGTTGTTCCACAGAAAGGATCTCTGCTGCTCCAAGCATTTGTCAGCCCCAGAGTGGATGGAGGATGGCAGCTCACAGCATCTGAAGAAGGAGACTGTGACATAAAACTTCCCACTACAGAGAAATGGCTGCATCCATCACCATCCTTTCAGCCCAGAGAACACGGTTGGGTTATCCCTGTGCTCCAGTTCACCCACAGCTCCCAGAGCAGCTCCTTTTAAGTGTTTGAATCTTCAGGGTAGTTACATTTCAAAATGCAATTTGCTCAGTACCAAGAATAATCAGGCCTCTGGGATGAAGCAGATCACAAAGCCTGAAATGGATCTGGAATATTTTGGGAGGAAGACACTTGTGATGAAGGGTGTTGGATAGATCCACAGTCTGAAAGCAGTGCAGGGTCTTTGAGAGCAGAATAAAGTCTTTCCATTTGGTCAGTGCTCCTCAGATGTGGGGGGAAGGTTCAGGCTTCTCCTGGATCATCCTTGCTTGATGAATATTTGCCTTATAACACAATTGATTAGTCTAAGCCAGTTGGGTTTTTTTTCTTCCCAGATAGTGCTGCTTTCATGCCCTGGACAGGCTGGGTTTAGATTCACTCCCAAGGAAATAGGATTTTTCATCTCTTGGAACTACCAGTGTGCCAGAAAATCATTTATTCCCACAGTGCTAATAGTAGACAGCTGTTYGTGGTGACAGCAGGAGAAAGAGTTATCTAAAGATCAAAAAGCTGAGCTTGGAGAGTAAATATGTTGTTAGAGCAAGCATGACCTAGTATGATAGATTTATTTTAGAAAATGTTTTCTTTTTCTATGCTCAGTCCTAGAAATACATTTCAAGTTAAATCTAATGAACAGCTTGCAGTTGGTACAGGCATCTTAAATGGCACAATGCTCACGTTTATACACAAGGGCAAGGTGTCCAAGGGACCAAGCTCATCATGAAAAGTTGCAAAGACTCTCAGCTGGAAAGTTTATTGTGGTCCCCAGCTGTAAATCACTCTAAACAAGTACTTGGACAGCTGGCAGATTGTGCCATCATTAACAAGTGCTCTCCAAGCTGGTTGGCAAAGGAAAAGCTGTAGGAACAGCATTCCCTGTGTGGTACTGGTGGATGTGATGTTTTTCAATTAAAAGTTTGATGATAAATACTCCTGGACATCTATGGTGGACAGCATTTGATTGTGTAACATTATTCCACAATATTTGAATTCTAYTGCCAGAAGCAGCCTCCACCTTGAGCAGCTGTTCATGCAAGTGAGTGAGGAAGTGTTTGTCTCTTTCCAAACCGGGGATAGGAGCAGTGTGAGAGCTCTGACCATTGTTTGTCATTTTGTTAATTTGTTCCCTTGTAGCTGGATGCTGAGAAGGCCAAACTGAAGCAGGAGCGCTGGGCATCCCGAGATGGCGGCAGCGGGGCTGGSAGGAGCGGGGAGATGGAGTCCAGTGGAGACTGTGATGATGAGGATGGCTGCCAGGGCTCTGGGGACAGGATGCACACAGCAGGTGAGTACAGCACCTACAAATTCATGTGTCACAATTAGCTGGACAGAGCTGAGACTCGCACTGCTTGAATTGCTGTCAAAATCCTACTAAATTCAAAGGATTTGAATCTTAATCTTTGAAGAGCTGCAGTAAAAATAGAATATACAGACAGTAACCCAATATAATTTAATGCTTGGCGTGCAGATAAAAGACTTAAATGTAGAGTGAATAATGTCTGCAGTGAAATCTGGATCACAGAAATACTGAAGAGCCTTCCTAGATAATGTGGGCTCTTCAAATAAATAGAAAATTGATGACCTTATAGAGAATGCTAAGTGTTAACATAAACATTTATTTATTGCATAGTGATATTGAAGGATGAAGAGTAGACTGAAAGTGTATAGTCCTGAAAAAAACCATAGGAAATAGTGTGGGGTTTTCCCCTAGTGGTGAGTTGCTGGTTAAATGAAATTTCTTCATAGTTTCAGGTACTGCATTCTGCAATATTTATTCATTAAATTACTTGGATAATATGTCATCAAGTGAAGAATCAGCATCAGAATCTAACTTCCAGCAGCATACTGGCAATATAACATTTATCTAGTTAAATCCTTTCAGTAACTCATTAAGAAGTCAGATGTTTCTAAATACTTGATATTATTTGTTTACCTTGTCTGTAAGTTCTGGCTCATTTTAGCTCACCAAAATGTAACTGCTTTAATTACCATAGCGTGTGTGTAAATGTAACATGGATTGGGTGTGTAAATACATGAAATAGGGGTTTAATTTGTTGAAAACAATGCTCACTGCGATGGCTGGAGCTCAGGTAGGTTTTAATCTGCCGCTTGGCTCTGCTGAGACAAACAAATGCCTTTGCCTTGTCCCTTTGTCACTGAGTGGAGAGGGGGCAGAGGTGTCTCTTTACTCAGGTAAGATTTATAAACATGCTGTGATTGGCCTGGGGTCAGGACTTCAGTTGTCCCTATTGTGAATATTGTTCAGGAAAAGCAAGCTTAAAGATGTACTTTGAAATGTGTACCATWTGTTACAGGTAATCTGCAGTGCCAGCTTGTAAATACTTGAATTTTAATTCACCTTGATGGCCCATGTGATGAAGGTATCATCACACAGGGATGCAGTTTTTAAAAATTGTAGAGTAATTACAACTAGCAGATCAAGCAGAAGTTTTCATCATCTTCTCACTGATATTTGTGAACGGAAGAACTTTGATACAATGTTATTTTAAAACTCTTTGCTTAACATCTTTATTGTTTACTGTATTTCGTCCATAAGCAAAGCAAAGACTTTCAGACGTTTTAGACCCTGGGGATTTAGGAGGATACATAAGGATAAATACTCTAATATGATTTTCTCTCTGTGTGGACTAATAGAAACAAAAGCCAGGTGCTRGATACTCTACAATGAGCAATCAAACTACTGATACACCATTTGGGGAGGATGTGTATCTATGCTTGCATGGACAGTGGCAGAGTTCAAAAACAAATAGTTGAATGCTTTCAAGACYTGAATTTCAGCTGCCTTTAATAATGGAAAGCTACTTAGTGTCTTTTTTCCTCCTTTTTTGGTTTCTGTTTAATTAAAAAAATTTGTGCTGATACCATCCTGGATTTAAAAGATTTATATTTATATAACTGTTTCAGAATTTAGCAGGGTGTATATCAAATTAAAAAGGTAATTACAGTAAATTTTAGAAAATGGTATTGATTCATAACAGAAGAATAAGTATTTCATTGTGTGACAATAGTAATGCTGTATCATAATTAGCTTTAAAATATTGTACTGTATACAAGCCACTAGCAGTAAATCTCTTTTCCATATCTGGATACAATTAMGAGATAAAATGCAGTAATCTCATTATAGAGCTGCTTTGCTTTAATGGACTGCTAAAGAAAAACAAACATCAGATTAGTTAAATTTCATCTTGCTGCATGTCTGTGAGATGATGTTTGCAGTTGTACAGCCTGTGAACTTGTATTTCCTAAGTTTAAAACCCATGCAGTACATCCAGCCATGGTTTTRTGGAAGTGGGACGTGACAACATTCCTGTTTCCTGCTTGCCTGGAAATTGGTGCTGAAGTTAAATCCCAAATCAAGCCCTGATTGGAATTTTGGTGGAGTCAGTGGGAATGTCCTTACAGGTGTGGGTGAGGCACAAATGAGAGCTGGAAAATGCCACCGAGCCCTTCAGGGCATGTTGGAACACAGAGTCAAAGAGCAGAAGGGAAGGAATGAAAAAAAATGAATAAAAGCCTTTCCAAACACAGACTTTTTGGCAGGGCAGTCATGCTTTTAACAACAGGTCCATGAAAAGCAGAGGAAAGTATTTCAATGTCAGCCTCTAAAATGTGGAATTGAGAATGTAGTAAATATGTAGTACATCTGTCATTTATTCGAAAGCTCTATGAAAATTATATTTACTGCTTTATGGATTCAGAGCATTGCAAAAGACTGAGATTGCTTTTAGTTTTTGAAAGCCTACCGAATGCTCGTTTCTTTCCACCTCCCAGAAAAAAAAAATAACAAACCCTTTTCCTTACCGATAAATGGCCAGGAATTTCATCAATGTATGGATKACCATTGTTAAAATATTGCTGTTCATAACTATTTGTGAAGATCTTCCCAGACAGGCTCCATTGCTGTCTCCCCACATTTTTTTTTTCCAAGCTGCTAACAGAGGGCTGGGCTCCTGGGTTTGGATTTCAGCATATCCTGAGTGGGTGAACACAGAAGCAGTTCTGTGTGTCTATATTCCTGCCTGGTCATTGTAAATATCCTTTTCCCTGTTTTTTTCTTTTTTTTTTAAATTCCCTTTTGGCTGGGATTGCTGTCTCTGTAGTTCAGCTCATCCTGCAATGGACAGTGCAATCCTGTCCTTTTGTTTGTCACCTTCTGGCCTTTGAGAATCATGCCTGTGTATCAGTTAATAATTTTATTTTATGTCTGTAATTAAGATCCATGGCTATSTTTTAGCTAGTGCTGGGTTTTTGTTTCTCTTTGTTGCAAATAAGTCTTTGCTTGACACACTCACTGTTACCTGGAAAGATGAACATTGTGTAATGATAATGGGTTTAATTRTCTGCTCTATACCATGTGTGTTTATCCAAGTGATTTTATATGAACAAGATAAATTCTCAGGAAACCAGCATTTTCTTCCAAAACTATGGATGCTAGGGGATGCTTTATAATGTCATATTCTCACAGGCCTTACCAATTACCACGAGGATCTCTTCTTGRGGAAAGCTGTGGGAACAGCAGTTTCCCAAGCAGCCCCATGTGTTATTTGTTGGCAAGTACCAACTTTTTAATGGCAACATCTGTGAATCATCTTTGAACAAAGCTTTGTTCGGGGAGATTGAAGAAGAGGAAAGCAAGCCATATAAATCTTGAGCGTGGATGGGGAAGTTGCTCTGCGGTTTGCCCTGCAGGTTTCTAGGCAGAAGGGCAGAGCAGCATCTCGGGCTGAGCTCACAGGAGCAGTGTCTTACATGGGCCTGATCACAACGTGAGTCCTCTTTTGGAGTGAAAAGAGGTCTTTTGGAGCTCTTTTTCAGCCCATTCATGAGGGTGGTGGTGGTGAAGAGCAGGGATTCCTCGGTGCCCTGCAGGATGGAGCCACAGGAATGTTGACTTAGGAGAGGGATGAGAGTCCTTCTGCTCCTGACAAGGTTGTGTCCTGTCTCTACTGTTCAGAGGAAAGGAAAATGGTTTGGCCTGTCAGGTGAAGAGTGGGAAGGAAGAAGTGCAAGGAATTGCAATTCCCAGCTCTGTGTTGTGATGAGGTCCCACCCAAGCAAAACAACAACTTCAGGTGTCAGTTCAGGGAAATGATCATGGGATTCACTGTTAACAAAGGTGAGGAAATGTTTATGTCACAGGCAGGGAGCTGCCTTTATTTCAAGCCCAAAGGCAGCTGTGTGGAGCTCTGGGCTGTGTGGAAGCTGTGGAGCATGGTGGTGAAGGAGGCTGTGCTGACAGCACTCTGTTCCACTGTGTGCAAGGCTGGATGGTTCACACAGGCGGTGTAAGACAGAAATTAATCCAAGTTTCTGTCTGGGGGAGCCTGATCCAGCATCCTGCAAAGTGCCAGGGAGTGCAGCTCGTGCTGGATTACAGCTGTGCCCTGGCAGGCAAGGCAAACAAACAGCACAGGTTGAGGAAAATGCAGTTCAGTCCATCCTTGGGCCCYGCTCTGCTGGACAGAACACACAGCCCCAAATGTGTGCTGTGCTTGAGCTGCAGTCTTTGCACCAGGCTCACCTCKCTGAGGTTGGAATCTATTTRTGGCTSAAAAAGCTCAATCCTCRGGTGGGACATGTGTTAAMCCCACTCCTGACAYGCCKTGAAAYTTGGGGTCACTGGGAAAYGGGAACACAGGGCTTTCCTTTGSCCTTGCTCCYCACAGARATGGSMTTCTGCAGTGCCCCCATCCCAAAARCTGTKGGTTTCCATGGAMTAACAGTGACCAGTRCTGAGCCTYMRRCACAGCAGATTGTGTACAATTCTCTAAATCGTGTCTGTCAGTGCAGGCATTCAATAAGCAAACACATCCTGGGACATCCCAGCCACACTTTGACCATGACTGTGGGTTAAATGTGTTTTATTACTGTGATTTTTGCCAAGAGCTTACTTAATCCCAGTAACAGTTTTCTTCTGTACTTCTTCCTAATTCTTTCATGAGGCTCCCTCCCTTTMACAAGAACTTTCAGATTTCAGCCATCTCAGTTGAACATCCTGCCTGTTGTCACAGTCATTGCCTGGGTGGGAATTTTTAACAAATTTTCTTAGAATGTCATCAGATGACACGATTCCAAACCTTGGCTTTCTGCTTGGCTGTGTAAACAATCCCCATCTTCCTGCTTATCTTTCAGAGTACCTAAAGAGATTATCCTGGTTGTAGATTTCTTATTTAGGGCTCATGAGAAGGATGCATTTTTGCCCCAAAATGCCTTAACAAGTGCAGACAAGTACATTTTCTTCTTTCTTATTGTCTTCAGTATGAT